AATACAACCAATAAACCCTCTAGAAAACACAAAATTTCCATTTCTAATAAATATGCATAAATATTTTTTCATCTAAACTTATTAACTAATAGATTTTGCTGCATGTTTAGCTAGATCCCTGAGGAATACAAGGCTTTCACAAAAAAATTATGGGATCATAATTTTTTGGTCATATTATTAAACCGACCATAAGTGGTGTCCCTCGCATATAAATTTAATAACAAAAATAAAATTAAATTATTTTCTAGGCATGTGTGTGTGTGCAGGTCTGTGGCACAATTATGCGTATTAAGATTTTGATCTTAAATAAAATATCATTCAATTCCATTCAATTACCTTAAAAGAGATAAGTAACACAGACACATATATAAATATTTTCATATGTGTATTTTACGATATATTTGTGTAAAATTCATGTGGTATTTTACGACTCCCCAAACTGCAACAAACCTGCCAAGTTGAGGGGCAAATGAAATGAGAAAAAAAAAACAGTACGAAACGTTTCAAGTAATAACAAATTTTTTTATGATCATTTTAGAAATTTTATGCGTAAACACGTTTTCCAACATATAATGTACAGTTTTTTTTTTTTTTTTCTTAGTCATTTTTACTACCCCCTCAGTAAACACCCTCCTTGTTAGACAACCACAACCTTAAAGCATTTTGTATACTTTAATTTAACCAAGTTGTTGTAAATTTTTAAGGCTGAAATGGTATTTCAATGTAGTCAGTAAGTAATACTATTGCTAGAATATAGTATTTATTGCAACAACACTGTTGCCTTAATGCGTTGACATTTTATGAGCAACAACCTATAACACAAGCAACAAAATATTTTCTTTACTAAAAGTTAAGAAAGCAAAGTCAACTTTTGATAATTTTCCCCCTGTCATTGGTGGTTCCTGTTTGCTGCTTTTTATGTTCCAACATATTTTATAGTTTTCTGAACAACAGCAAAAAATTACAATTGAATTTTCAAAATTTTAGTAAAGAAAAAAAAAATCATACACAAAAGCAAGCAAATGTTATAAATTCGCCAAGCCTCATAAAACGTGCCAAAACACTAAGTGAAATTGTTTAAACAATACCTGTTATATAAGGCCATCTCTTTCTAACTATTATACACACCAACAGGCGACATTGTTGCTACAACTAAAAAAGCTTACATACTCCTTTATAAACCCCTGCCTTATTTCCCTTAACTTGGCAATGGCAAAACAGAAAACACTTACTGGAGTGTAATCAAGTAACGATTTCAATTTTCTAAATACATTTTTAAGAACACCAAGTGTGAAAGGGGGGTAGTAGAGGAAAGCAACGGGGTGAGGTATGAATTCCTCTTTCTAACTGTGACAGGATGTATGTATGTCGATATCATATGTGTTATGTGTATGAATCATGTCAATTTTCTGTTAACCACAATACTCACACTTTTACCACATTTATGAGGTAGATACTTTAAAAGACTTTCAACTCACTCCCCCGATGAATAGCGAATACCCAACTTACACCCATCTGGTTGTATAGCTGATTCGCAAACGTATGAGGTCTGGAGGGGAGATTTCTTTACAAAAATGCAACAAGAGTGAAAGCTTTTTTAAGTAAATCAGTTTTTCATAGAAAAAAAGCTCTTATTAATGAATTGCATTTTTTCACAGAAAAAAAGCTTTTTATTTTTACTGAAAAAATTAATCAATCTAAAAAAATATTCTAAAAGGCTTTTTGTAAGAAAGCTTTTTTAAAGGACAGTATTTTACAGAAAGAAGCTTTTGTTCTCTGATAGTATTTAAATACTTTTCAATAAAACTACCTTTTCCGTTAATTTTTTTCTTTTCAGCAAAAGTCTTTATTTCCAGAAAAAGCTGTTTTTTAACTTTAAAGCTTTTATCACTGAAAATCCTCTTTAAATAAAAATAACATTTTATTTACAATTTTCGTTCAAAAATAAATAAATTTTGATTCAAAAATCATTCAAAAAGCTTTTTATTTATTTATTTATTTACTTATTCAAACAATGTAATATAAAACAAAAACTTTTTTCTGCGAAAAGCTCTTTTTCTACAAAAAGCTTTAAAGACTTTTTTCTACAAAAAGCTTAATTTTTCTTTTCTGCAAAAAGCTTAAAATGCTTTTTCTACAGAAAGCTTTAAAAGCTTTTTTCCACAAAAGACTTAAATAAGTTTTTCGCTGAAAAACTAAAATAAAAAAACTTTTTAACAAAACGAAGCAAAAAAGCTTTATTAAAAAAGATTTTCACGCGGAAAAAAACTAGAACAAAATTCTAGGAAACGCTCAAAAGATTTTTTTCTACAAAAAGCTTAAATGTTTTTTTCTGCAGAAAGTTTCAAAGGCTTGTTTTATAAAAAGCTTCAAAAGTTTTTTTTTTACAAAAAAATTTCAAAAGCTTTTTTTCTACAAAAAGCTTCAAAAGCTTTTTTATACAAAAAGCTTCAAAAGCTTTTTTCTACGAAAAGCTGCAAAAGCTTTTTTGTACGAAAAGCTTCAAAAGCTTTTTTCTGCAAAAAGTTTCAAAAGCTTTTTTCTGCAAAATCCCTAAATAAGTTTTTCGCTGGAAAACTAAAATAAGAAAACTTTTTAACAAAAGGGACCAAAAAAAGGATTTTCGCGCGTAAAAAAATCAAATATGAAGAAGTATCACATAGTTTTAACATTTCCTAAAATAACTTTTACGACCACCCTCGTAAAGTTTCCTTTTTCCCTTTGCTGTTGTATTGTAAATAATATTGTATATGTGTATTTTGCAAAAAGCATCATTTGAAGATGTTTTGATGACTGCTGCTGCTGCTACTGCTGGTAATGACACATTTTTGCATTTCTCTGCTAAGTTTAAACGTAAAGGGACCGACCAACAAGCAACATACACACTGAACCCAAACAGCTAAAAACATGTTCTGCAATAATCTTAAATGTAAAAGTATAAAAATTTGTTCTTCTTTTTTTCATATTTAGCTGCCACTATCTTTCCTGCTTTTCACACAAGCTACAAGTGTCGTAAATGTTTTCTGCTTCATTTTTTTTTGCTTATTTGGGAAACAGGAAGTACATTTAAGGGAGGAGTAGTAGTGAAAGGAGTTGGGTGCAGTAGGTACGTTTGGCAAAAACAAAATTAAAGTATGTTAAGAATTAAGGCGTAAGTGCGTAATTTGGTTGTGTAAGTACGTATGTGGAACAAAAATCTAATGGTTTTCAGGCAATGATGCTTGAAATTGTTGTTGTAAAAAAAGGAATGTAGATTTTTTTTTGGTTTTTGTTCAACATCATCATCATTAAATACATCAATATAGAAAATATTAATAGCTACAAAAAAAAAAAAAAAAAACAAGAAAAAAAGCGAAATTGTCTAAATAAAAATGAATTGAAAATTAAATGAACAATTTTGAAAAAAATGCTGGAAAATTTTTGGCATGTGCTGTGTTTAATTTCAGCAGAAAAACAAGACAAATACTTTGTTTAATCATTAAAATTAAATGAGTTTCTTAGAGAACACACATGTGTTGATTACGACACAATTAATTGGAATTTTAATTTAGGCTACATGATCTTGTGTTGCTGTGTTCACACTTGCTAAGAACTTTAAACAAGTGATACTTGTTAAATTTTACAAATTAGAATATTTTTATTATTAGAACATTGAAGTGGTTTTAAGACAATTGCGTTTTTAAATCAATCTTTCTTCTTAATCTTCAAAAAAATCTGCTTAATTTTTCTTAATGTACTTTAGAGCCATTTAAGGAAATTTCGAAATAAGTCTTTACTGACACACATTTTTGTGTTCAATTTTCTGACATATTAGATCATCATATCTGCAAGATAAGCCTTTTTGATTGAATAAATATGTCTATTATGACATTATTATATTATGTTGTTTTCTCTTTTACTTTTTTATTTATTGTGTGTGTGTGTGTGTGTATTTCCTATAACACTTGTAGATTTTCTACTTTACATTTAATAAAGTTAATTTTGAAAAAAGAAACAAAAGATGTGGTTCTGTTAAATTGACTGTCTTAACTGTCAAATGTCTATTTATCTGGGATGAAGAAAAAATACACTTTTTATAATGGATGATTGTACAATAAACGCAAATGTGTTTCATTTGTTTCAGTTGTTGTATTTTTTTTTTCTTAAGTAAAATAAGAAAGTGCCGGTTTTTCTCTTTATATTTTTTCTTCCTCTGACTCTCTTCCAACTGTCAATCAATCATACTTTGATGGATAATGTCTTTAAAAAAACACAAGGTTTTTTTTTTGTTTTTCGAAAAAATAACATTTAGATATTGATCTTGCCTTTTGAAAAGAATTTAATAAATCTTAATCAGTCTTTTAGTTTAATGAAAAAACACTTAAGGATTTCTCAATCAGACTTCTAATGATTCCACCATGTGTATGCTTTGTTCAATTTCTTGCTAGAATATTAAAAAATATCAGTAATTTTTGCCTACTAAGTCTATGACTTAACTTTGAACTAAATTCCTAAACTTATTTCAAACTAATAATTCTTTAAACTTTCAAATAAAACTGTTCAGTTTGTGTTTCAAACTGCAACATTATCAAAAAGTGTAGATTTAGTTTTTTCCCCCCAGAGAAAAAATGTTTTATTATTGTTGTTTTTTTTTTAAATAAAGTCGGTGTCTTAAATTACAAACCGCTGGGTTTTCGGCTTTATACACAACACAAAAACAGAAAAATGCATTTTACATAGTATACGTACGACTACATGCAACCCCAAAAGCTACAACAAAACACCTTTGATGGCGACATGTTAACTAGAGCAGAAATTTTTGTTTAGAATAAAACATTTTTTTTTAATATTTTTATTTTCTTTAATGTTGGTTACAGGTTAAAACAAAAAACAGCAACAACAACTAACAACACTAAAAAAAATAGTAATAAAAATACTTTGATAACACTTAAAGTGTATTCAACGAGCAAAGGAGTTCATTTACATTTAAATGATTGATTTGGGGACAGAGAACATTTATTTAATGGAAAAAGTCTATAAAATTTTTTTTCAATAACTTCAATTATTTGAAATAATGTGTAACCTCAGCAAATGTAGTATTCTTGCTGTGTTCCTTAAAACTGTAGATCAGTGATCGATATACATCAAAGAGATACTTGTATTTATACCAGGCAGCAGCAGAGAGTAATAAATAAGCTTTCTGTCTTGTTTTGTTTATGTTTTAAACATGAGAACTTGTTAAAAGGCTCCCCAAGCTTACGATCGTATGAAAGCAAGAGAGCATGAGGGCTTGAGATCTTTGATCTATGAGCAGGAGAGCCAGAAATCGTAATAGTTTATGTTGTATACTTATTATTGGCAAAAATTCACAAATAAGCTCTCTAACTGACCTTGTTCATTGTTTATACTTGTATGAGCAGGAGAGTATGAGAATTAGAAAAAAGCTCTCTGAGCTATGATTACAAGAGATTGTGATAGATCGATAAGAAACTCGCTGAGTTTATATTCGTATGATAGCTGGAGAGCTCACGTATGTGTGAAGAAAACGAAGTAGAGAAAAAGCTCTCTGAGTTATTTATGTGTGACAGCCAGAGAACTTGAGAGGTCATTAGAAACATATTTGCGTACGCCTGATTTAAATCGTAGCAATTCGTGTTGCATACATATAAATCAGTTAACGGCAGTATGAGAACTAGAGCTGTGATTACAAGAGATTGTGAGAGATCGATAAGATACTCACTGAGTTTATGTTCGTATGAAAGTTGAAGAACTCCAAGAAAAGCTCACGTATGTGTGAAGAAAGAGAACTGGAGAAAAAACGCTCTGAGTTTTTTATGTGTGACCGCAAGGGAGCTGGAGAGGTCATTAGAAATATATTTGCTTATCCCTGATTTAAATCGTAGCATACATATAAATCAGTTAACTGCAGATAGTGACAATTAGCTCTCTGTTTGGCTTTGTTAGTAGTTTATTCCGGTATGAGCCTAGGTTTATATGAATGCAATATATATCGTATATCTATGATCTTAAACTCTATTTTAACAACTTAATTATTAGCTTAATAATGCTTACCCATACCTTAGAGTTAATAGAAAGTACAAAGTTTTTAAATATTACCTGAAAAAAAAGACAAGAAAAAGAATTATAAATAAAAATTTATCATAAAATTCTAAGAAAATGAACAAAAATGTTAAAAATTAACAGCAAAAGGATATTCCAAGTGTTTGAAAATCATTTCAGACAAATGTCTTCTTTTACATTTCCTGTAATGGTGTTCATTCAAACATCTTCTCTTAATGTTAATGAAACTTTAATAGAAATGACAGCTAATGAAAATATTAATAATATACTAGCATGCAAAATAAAAACCCGGCAGTTCTGAGAGTTAATTTACATATAGCTGCCATAAGAGGACCCTAATTGCTACATTTTTTTAAGATTGCGAATGGATATTGCAATTGTCGTACGTTTTTGACGAATAGGACAATACAAAATGTTCAAACTGTCTACTCTCTTGTTTACTTAGGAACACTAGTGTGGCGTTTCACTTCTCATTAGATTACTTGATTAATTGAGTGTTACTCTGCTTTACACTGAGTATTATTTGTAATGCAGAGAGTTAGACAATAGTCTAAAAAGGCTACATTGCTGCGTTACAAAACTGCTGGCATTCGCTCCTTTTTGTTATGAGAAAAATCAAAGCATAAAACTATTCAAAAGTTTTTTTATTCTCAATATAATCTTATTTATTTGTTCCTCTTGATTTATGATGTTTTTTGTAGCCGGTTGTGATAACAGCAACAACAACAATATCCGTTAATTTAAATGGTCATTTGCATTAATATTTGTAAAATACACAAAATATACATAAATACATATGCAAAGTGGCAGGCAGCAATTCTTCATTTATATTTTAAACCATATACACACATACATATGTATGTATGTAGATATTTTTTTCAAAAAACTTTATATGCAAAACAACAGTGAGAAAAAGCCAAAAGTGTTGACAAGCGTTAAATTGTTTTTACGGTATTTGTATACCGTTGCAAATACATAAAAATATTCAAACCAAAAAAAAGACAAAATGTATTTTCTCTTGTTTGTTAACATTGTTAACAATAACTGCTACAACATATATTTTTTTCCACTACTATGACTGATTTTGTTTTCCTTACATGCCAACCAACAAACAGACCAGACAAATATTACAAAAAAAATCCGAAAAACCCAACCACAATTTACATACGAAAATATAGAAAAACTTTACTTTAACGTGCAACAACAACAACAGCAACAATAATAACAAAAATTGACAAACACCATAAACTTTGATTGATGAGCTTTTCAAAAAACAATAAAAAAACCTCTTGTAGTATTTATGCAGCAGTTTTATACTGCCATATGAATGACGGTCATAAAACACAACAACAACTACTACAAACATGCAACACCATACCATACAAAAACCATTATAGTAAAATTGCAACGCATGTATATTTACTACACTCTTTGGTATTAAATTATTAAACATTTATGTTTAGTGATATTTACCAAATATGAACGAATGTATGAACAACAATTGCAGACAAAAGGTATAAAATAAAAATAACACTCACACATACATCCATAAAAACATTTCATATAGATCTGTGTATGTGTACTGCTATGTATTCATTTTTTTTACTGTAAATTCCATTGTAAATTGACAACAAAATTTTATAAAATGCAATACGGCATATTTATTTGTACACAAATTGTTTGTGGTATTAGTGGTGTTGCTGATGTTGTTGTTATTGTTGTTGCCTATAAATTTTTATTGGTTTTATTTGTAAAATTTATAGGTATTTAAGTAATTGGCCTGATATACATTTATAGTAAAAATGCAAATGCAACACTACACTAACTATGTAAAGTAAAGAGTTTTAACAATTAAATTGCACAAAAGTAAAATATACAAAATTTATGAAAAAAAAAAAAAAATGTTTATTAAGAGGTTTACATTTTCATTAACAACCTAATTGTAAACATATATACATATGTATGTATGTAAATTTTGTAGATGAAGCAGAAAAAACAGTTAGGTTTATAAAAATAGTAGCTTTACGTTTTAAAAGAGAGATTGAAAAAATATTTTTGTGATTTTGTAAGTCTTGTCAAAGGTATATTTGAGATCAACTTAGATTCTTCTAATCTTCATGTTTTGGTCTATGTCTTGTTTTATGTCATGTCATATTTTTCAATTTTTGTCAATATCTTGTGAATGTCTTGCCTACGTTTTGCCAATGTCTTGCCTATGTTTTGTCAATGTTTTGTCAATATCTTGTCAATGTCTTGTCAATGTTTTGTCAATGTCTTTTCAATGTTTTGGCAATGTTTTGTCAATGTCTTGTCTTTATTTTGTCAATGTCTTTTCAATATCTTGTTAATGTCTTGTCAATTTTTTGTCAATATCTTGTCAATGTTTTGTCAATGTTTTGGCAATGTTTTGTCAATGTCTTTATATCTTGTTAATGTTTGGTCAATGCCTTGTCTATGTTTTGTCAATATCTTGTCAATGTCTGGTCTAAATTTGGTCAATGGTTTGTCAATATCTTGTGAATGTCTTGTCTATGTTTTGTCAATGTTTTATTAATGTTTTGTCAATGTCATATCTATACATATTTTGTCAATGCCTTTTCAATATCTTGTCTATGTTTTGTCAATGTTTTATTAATGTTTTGACAATTTTTTGTCAATATCATGTCTATGCCTTGTATATTTCTTGTCAATGTCTTGTCAATTTCTTGTCAATGTCTTGTCAATATTTTGTCAATATCTTGTCAATGTCTTGTCTATGTCTTGTCAATGTCGTTCCCTTTACCTTGTCCTATGTCTTGTAAATGTTTTGAAAATGTTTTATCAATGTCATGTCTATGTCTTGTTTATGTCCTGTCCGTGTTTAGTCAATGTCTTGTTTATGTCCTGCCAATGTCTTTGCTTTGTCCTATATCTTGCCAATGACCTGTTAATGTCTTGTTAATATTTTGTCAATGTAGCATCAATATATCTATATCTAGCTATATCGTGTGTTATGTGTTGTTCCATTGCAATGTCTTATGTTTTGAGATATGTTTTGTCCTAAGCCTTGTTGTATGTCTTGTCCTATATCTGGTGCTATATCTTGTCTATGTATGTTTTATCTTTATGTCTTGTCTTAGATCTTGCCCTATGTATTGTGCTAATTCTTGTCCTATACTCAAGTCTTCTCCAATGCTTTTCCCTTTGTCTTGTTTATGTTCTGTCTCTGTCTTTCCCAATATCTTGTCCTATGCCCTGACCTACATATATCTTGTGTTATTTCTGATCCTATGCCTTATGTTTTGTTCTTAGCCTTGTCATATGTATTGTTCTGAATCTTGACCATATATTATGTCCCAAATCTGTTTCTAGTCTTTGACTAGTCATACTATAACCATGACCTTCTCCTAAAATACATCCACTTTTCTACAAAAACATTTATATTACAGATAAGCAAGATCTTTTTATCTAAAAAAAATATTGATATTCAAAAAAAGACATTAATCTTTTCAGCCACAGTTTGAAAAACATTGAACATAATAAATTTTTTATGAATTTTTTTTAAACTTAAATTTTCTTATTACCATAATAATACAATAGCCATTTCATTAATGTCAACATTAACATATTCTCCATAGATGTTAATTAACAAAAACAAATTTAAAATTTTTCTTCACGGTTTAAACAACAAATTATTAGAAAATATTAAGCAGCAAATGGGGAATGACAATAAAAAGACAATAGAAAAAATCAATGTCATTTTAACATAAAAAATTTTATGTTCAGAAAGCTACAACTATTGTTGTCTGTGAAAAAATGCATACATTAATTAAATTTATTAATATTATTTAGATAAAAAATTTTTATAATAAAATCTAACTTCTTCTCAAATTTAACCGACCACTTTTGGCATTACATAAAATGAAAACTAATCTTTACCTAGACCATTTAGTAAATTAATTTTGTAAAATATTAACAGCAAATATTTATGTATTTTCACAGTAACAATTTTGTTGCTGCTTGAATAAATCTCATGCTGCATAACTTATTAACAACACAACAATTTCTTACACTTCGACTGCAACATTATTTATGGTTAAAATACTTTGTAATGAACAGTAAACTTTAGCAAGAAAGGAGAGTTAATTTATATTGTTTTTATGTTAGAAAATTTTATAAAATAATTACAATGTTTTGTTATTTAAGCTAGATTTCACTGTAATTTCTCTTAAACTATGTTGAATGTATAAATGTATATGTATTTCTGTACATAATTAAGCAAAACTTTAGCCATACATGACCTAATTATTTATTAAATATTTAGTTGTGGTATGATTTAAAATTAATCAAAAGTATTTGTGCATTGATTTAATACCTCTCAATATTCTAATATTACAAAACGTAAATCTCTGCTAAAGCTAATAAATTTTTAGGGAATATTTAATAATGCCAGAGTAAATGTTTTGGTTAGAAGAATTTATTAGTTTAGTTTGAAATGTTTATTAGGGGTTAACAGTTTTATAAGAAATCAAGTAAATTTTTATTATATTTTTAATATAACAAAAATTGCATGTTTATAAAGTTAATAATAACTGTAGTATTATTTTAAAAAATTATAAATTTTTTATTAATTTTTAAGTTTGAAGTGCATACCCTTATTGCGGTTTATCATTAAGTGCAAATAATTTTGTTTGAAATTTTATTAACATTATCGAAAGTTTTTTGTTTAATACTTTTGTGTTTATTTTAGTTAAATATTTGTATTGAACTTTTTGATTTTACTTAGCATATAAAATTAATATTGAATTTATGCAGCAAAAATTTTTATTATAAAGTAATGACTTAAAATCCGAAATGATTAAACTTTTCAATAACATAGTGAGGTCATTGCAGTGTGTATTTTACCCAAAAGCTTACATTTATAGACAGGAGAAAAATAGTTTTAAAGCTATTCTTTTAAGTTCTGTAAGTTTTATTAAATAAAAGCTTTTCTTTTAGGAATAATTTATATTTTTAAAAATATATGTATATTACCTTAAAGCTTTTATATTATAGTA